GGAATATTATGCAGCAATCAGAAATGATGAGTTTGTGTCGTTTGTAGGGACATGGATGAATCTGGAGAACATCATCTTCAGCAAACTGACACAAGAACAGAAAATGAAACACCGCATATTCTCACTCATAGGCGGGTGATGAAAAATGAGAACACATGGACACAGGGAGGGGAGTGCTAAACACTGGGGTCAATTGGGGGGAAAAGGGGAGGGCCAGTGGGAGGGGGAGGTGGGGAGGGATAACCTGGGGAGAAATGCCAAATGTGGGTGAAGGGGAGAAAGGAAGCAAAACACACTGCCATGTGTGTACCTACGCAACTGTCTTGCATGCTCTGCACATGTACCCCAAAACCTAAAATGCGATAAAAAATTAAAACAAAAAAAGAAAATTTCTGCTGAGATTATGATTCAAATCACATTTATCTATGAATGAGTCTTTCTCAGTTGAGGTGATTTTGCTTCTCAGGGAACATTTGACAATATTTGGGCACAGCTTTTGTTTCTACAACTGAGGAAAATATTTAGTAAGTGAGACTAGGGATATTGCTAATTATCGTACAATGAATAACTATCCCACCTCTGGTAATAAATAATTATCTAACCCAATCTTATTGTCAGATTTCTCTTTTTCTTCCATGAAAATTTATCTGCTTTAACCTGTCTTCAGAAGAACCTATATGGGCAAATAATTTGTCTTAGGAAATTAGATATTTTATGTAGACTCTCAAATATAGATTTAATCCATATAATTCGTTATATTCAATATTATATATACATACTATATATTCAATATAATATTTCATTATAATTTTATAATGGTACTATTTACTTTACTAGGATAGCAGGTAAGCATTTATTTCTTAAAAGCTGGATATGTAAAAGAAACAAGCATTTCTCTTTCCTTTCCTATTTGGACTATGTCCTTAATAACCTAATGATAATGAGCGGAAATATCTCAATAACGTTATTCTCAAAAATACTTTTAAAACATAATTATCACCATTTTGCAATAATTAATAAATTGATATAGCTATATATTAAGCAGCAGTAGGTGCCAACATTACAAAGAACAAAAATTAGACTTTATATATTTCCTGATGAAAGAATACAATGCCACACATAACCATTCTGAAGGGGTCAAACCTAAATCTATTCAAGCCTTTGGGTCTGTCTCTCATGTTATAGAAAATACAGAGGACAATGGAACATACTGGCTACACCAGGAGTGTAAAATCAATAACATCCAGATGATTAAAAAAAAATAAGCAACCCTATAGATCAAATGCCCTGAATTCTTCAAGAGATAAATTGTATGGAAAAAGGAAAGAGTTAAAGGATAGGAAACCTGTAGATTAAAAGGAACTTAAAAGACATATCAGTTTAAAAATGGGCAAGATGAAATTAAAGTATCTAGAGGTATATACTTAGGTAATGAAATAATGAGGAAAAACAAGTTATTACTATGAAATGCAGGACAGTGGATACCCTTAGGGGAGGAAGAGAGTTGTGAATGAGGCAGAGTACCTAAACAAGGCTTCTGGGATAACTAGAAATGCCTACTTCATGACTAGGGTGGCAGTCACAATTAAATTCATTAAGCTATATATATGTTTTAGGTGGTTTTCTCTTAGTTTTATTTTATACTAAAAATGTTATAAAACATCAAAGACGAAGGACAATCAGGGAAATAATATTTGCAACTTCTTAGGCAAGAGACTTATCTCTGTATTGTATAAAGAGCTCTTATAAATTGAAAATTTAAAAGAACCCAAACTCTAGTGAAATAATGAGCATGGAACTTGATTAGCCAGGTCACAGAATAATATGCAAATCCACTTAGACATAGTTTTTAAGGGCTTAACTTCAATTACAATGAGAAATGACATTAATTGCTATTTCCAGTTGCTATTGGATTAGTAAAATTCGAGAATTTTGAAAGCTCATTCTGGTGAGATTTTGAGGAAACGGCACTTTCATACATTGCTGGTGGAAACAGAAAATGACACAAGTACTGTGGCAGGTAATTAGCAATATCTACCAGAATCACACATGCATTGCTCGTTACACCAGTAGTCACTTCTAGGAATGCAGACATACACAAAGACTATTATTTCCAAAGCTTTGTATTACAACATTGTTTGTGATAGCAAAAGGCACACTCTACATGTTCCTTGAAGGGGATTTATTAAATAAACCATAGTATATTACCAAAATGAAATACTTTTTAGCTATTAAAAAAAAAGAGAACCTTTTACATTCATACAGAAATAGAAATATTTTCAGGATACTAAATGCAAAAATAAAAATAAAAATTTAATTTATCTAACATATAGATACAAAAAGCAGATTAAGAGAACTTACAATTTAGATTAACTTCCAATAAATCTGAGAAATATAAAACAAACTTTAAAAAGAAGTATTCATACATAGCAGAATGAGAAAAATCATGGCGGAAATACTTCTCAATATATTTTTTATATCACTTTGATTTTGAAACATGGGAATACATTTAATAAATAAAATATAACTTAGTAAAATAAGCATTCCTCTAGATCCATACCTTTTATAGATATGTTATTTCTCTGTTTACCTTACAACAAAATTCATTGTGTCTACTTATGCATCATTATTTCTTGAAACCTCAACGAGATTTTCATCCCTACAATTTTATTAAAACAGTTCTGATGAGGATTATCAGTGACATTTATTATATGTCTAAGTCAGTGATCAGTTCCTAGTCTTTATCTTACTTGATCATCAACAGTTTTTCACAGAATGGATCCTTTGTCCTCCTGGAAACATGTTTTTATTTTCTTCCAGGAAAATATCAGTGGCTTGGGATTAGTCCATGGATCTCTTTGCTTCTCTAATCTTACTTCCTTGATGGTCTCTTCCTGCAATCTTGGCTTTAAATACCATCTACATACCAATAGCTTTCAAATGTACATCTTAGGTATGGATTTATGGCTGAACTCCACATTTCTAGATTCTTCTATCTATTTATTATCTTCACTTAGATATTGATTGTGAACCTCATTTTAATAATTTAAAAACACAACTTAACCTTTATCACTGTTGCACCAAACATGCTTCTCTTACAGTTATCTATTTTATTGAGTGATGACTCCATATTTCCCACTGTTCAGGCCCCAAACTTTAGTGCTATCCTTAATTTCTCTCTCATGTATACCCCAAATCCAATTCCTAAGCAAACCCTATAGTGTCTACTTTAAAATACATCTAAGACAGTAGACGTGTAATCACTTCCCCTTGCTATTGTCTGTTCTTAAAACAATAGTCAAAGTGATTCTTTTTGGTGCAAGTTAAATCATGCTACTCTGCCCCAAACTCTCTAGAGGCTCCCACTTGTTACCTGCCCCGCAAGGCCCTACATGATCTGAACCCGTTGCTCTTTGACCTCTCCTCTAAGTACACCCACCACGAGCGTTGCTCAGCATCTTCAACTACACCAGCCTCACCTCTCCCGAAGTCATCCTGGTGACTTGTTCCTATACCCTTTTAATGTTTTATGTTGAGATCTCTACTTAGTTACCATTCTGTTTAAAATGGCAATTATGATGCTCTGTTTTTTCATAATATTTATCATCTATTCAACATTTTATAAATGTAATTTACTTATTTGCTTCTATTTCCGTACAGGCAGGGATTTTTTAGTCTTTTTTTCACAGCTATATTCCTAGTGTCTAGAACAATGCCTGAAACATAGTATAGACTCAGTGAATAAAAGTGGTGACTAAATGAGATACAACTTAAGCCTTTATAATTTTTGGTGCTTTCTCTTGTGTTGCTTAGTTTATGTGAAGAAGAAATTAACAATCTTGACACTAAATTTCTAGTGGTCAGTAAATGGGCCATTTTTACCTCCTCTACAATGGCAGAAGAAGAAAACACATTTGAAAATAAGACATGTTACCATCCATGGAAAGCTCTTTGCATAGCTCTTGTCAATTAGAAGTGCTCCTTACTCTCCACAAAAGTAAGAGTTTCATTGCATTCCTTCAACCTGAGCTGAAGCAGACTATGTTAGTATAAAATAGTCATGGGATTTAGAAAAATTTTGTAGTATGTATTATAGTTTGTATTTATGGTTCTGTGACAGAGTGCAAGGAGCAATAAGGTTGAGAAAAAAGTATTACAGCAATGTATTTTCATCTGTATGTTCACATTTCAAAATGCTTTAATGCTGTTTTAAATTGAAATTATGACTAAAAGTAAATCAAAGGCATTGAAAAAATAATTGCCAAAACTATATCTCCCATTTTCTTGGAATGATAAAAATACATTGGACAAATATTTCTGGTAAAGTACTATAGTAATTTTATACTTTGACTTGCCTCACTCTGCTCCAAACCTAACAATAATACATTACATATATTTGGGGAAAAAATAAATTGCAGGGCTGTAAACAGAATGAACAGAAGTGGATTAGAAACAGAAGCCAAGAGAAGAGCAGAGCCATGGCTGTTCTTGGCATGCTATAGGCAAGGGTGGCCTGAGCTTATCTCCTGTGTGAAAATAACAGGGATAAAAAACATTCCCTTGCAATAAAGCAGCGGTCCCTGACCTTTTTGGCACCAGAGACCAGTATTTTTCCATTGACCGGAGTGTGGGGGTTGGTTTCAGAATGATTCAAGTACATTACATTTATTGGGCAATTTATTTCTATTATTACACTGTAATATATAATGAAATCATTTTACAATTCATCATAATACAGAATCAGTGAGAACCCTGAGATTGTTTTCTTACAAATAGATGTTCTCATCTGGGGTTGATGTGAAACACTGACAAAGTATCAGGCATTAGAATCACGTAAGCAGTTTGAAATCTAGCATGCACAGTTCACAACAGGGTTTGTACTCCTGTGAGAATCTAATGATACTGCTGATCTGAGGGGAGGTGGAACTCAGGAAGTAATGTGATTGATGAGGAGTGGCTGTAAATACAGATGAAATTTTACTCACACACCCACCACTCACCTCCTGCTGTGCAAGCCAGTTCCTAACAAGCCACAGACCAGAACTGGTCCATAGTCCAGGAATTGGGGATCCCTGCAATAAAGTACACACAAAATTCATCTTATGAAATAATCTGAAAAAAGGACTTCAAAATGTGCATTAAAGTATATTTAGGATGCTCAAAATATGTGTAAATAATTTATAAATATAGTCGAATCTAAACTTTAAACTGAAAGAAATGAAATAGGAAGTGTTAAGTATTTAAAAAAGCAATCAGAAATCTCTGCTGTGCTGAGATTATAACTTATATTACTCCCTTCGATCTGTGGACCAGATTCAGAATACATGTGATCAAGGCTAAAGGCCTGGGTTTCACGGTTCAGTGAAGCAAGCCCTGGAGACAGTAGGCTCAATTTCTTCATGTTAGTGACTTGGAGGAAGGTTCACAGCTTGAAGCCAGAGCTCCAGATAAGTCACCTCCAATCCTAAAAGGAAGCTACCCAAACAATGCCAATAAAGGTTAAGCTTTGACTGGGAAGACTTTATCAGAGCTATAGGCCTAGGGAAACAGAGAACAAAGATGTAGTCTTACTCCCCGTAGTTATGCTAACCTGTCTTCATGCATATATGTGACATAGGCCTCAAGCCACAAAGGAGGCAGTAATTCAAATCTGCAACTGTAAAGCCTAAGAGACCTGGTGACCTCTTGTAGGAGGAGACTCTGAGTTACTGCGTGGAAGTGAGGCCCCAACCTGCATCAGACTATACATGAGATAAAATCAAAACCAAATGTTCAGTTTGTTGCGATACTGAGATTTTAGAATTTGTGTTTCTGTTGTGGGAGGCAAAGTTAATATTAATTAATAATCTAATTAATATAACTATTTTAATTTGCCTAGTAAAATAAAAGTAATAAGATACAATGTACGATGGGTAATTAAAATATATGACAGGTCTTTTTACTGTTTATAAAAGGATAGAAACTCTGCCTAGATAGAGGATTTTATAAAATTATTAAATCTTCTATTAATGCTACAAAAGGCAGATGAAATATGCACACAAAGATGACAACTAAGTAATAGAAGTAAGTCTAAATACATAAAAAAATCATAATGAATGTAATCAAGTCCAACTCCTGATTGAAGGATAAATATTATCAGGTTGAATAAAAACGGCAAAATACAGTGATAACCTGCATATAATAAACACTCCTAAAATGAACTGAAATAAAAATCAGCTTCATAGCAATATTAAAAATGAACTAGCTTACAAGGCAAAACTCATTAACAAGAATAAAGAGAAATGCTACATTGTAATAAAAAGATAATTCACCAAGAACATATCAAATCTATGAACTAGATGTTCACACCACTGTTCATTAAAGTATCTAAATTAAAACTGAAAAGCAAAAAAAAGAAATTGACAAGTCTACAATTATGCTGGAACATGTGAAACGCCCCTACAAAAGTGAGATAGATCAAGCAGACAAAAAATTAGCAAGGTTATGAGAATATTAACAACAAAATAGACATATCTAACATGTCTGCCAATCTACATGTTTACATCTACATTTGAAGATTAAAGTACTACTAGAAGATATTCTTTTAAGAATACAAGATTTAATTTTTAAAAGAATTCCATTTTATACCCTTTTTCTTCTTACTGAGATGAATTTAAATTTTGAGAAGCTACCATACAATCATCTTTGCATTTGCATTTTTGGTTTGTTAGTAGTAGTGAAAAAATAATGTAATATTTGCCTTGTTTTCATTGTCCTCAGTGGGTTTAAAAAGTTTGACATTAAAAGTTCAGTTTTATAAACATTGAGTGGCATAAATGTGCTTTGTCAAGTTTTAAGTGAGCATTATTTAAAAGTTAAAAGAATGCTTACAATCATATTATGCAAGACAGACATATTATGGGATTAATTTAGAGACAGTGTTTTATAGCTTTTTTAAATTGTGGTAAGAATAATTAACATGAGATTGCCTTCTTAAATTTTTAAGTATATAATACATTATTGCTGATTATAGGTACAGATCTCTCTAATGCTTACTCACCTTGCTTGACTGAAATTTTATGCCCATTGATTAACTCTCCATTTTTTCCTTCTCTTCATAAGAACTAAAAATCAGGTGAGTGAACACCTGGTTTTTATATTATACCAAGGGAAAAAGCACTGAAGAGTTTAGGAAAGACAATTTGAATTGCCAAAACCACCTTTCCCCCATTTCCTAGCAGCAACCATGTGGTACAGAGAGAGAAACTACTTGGGACGACGCTTGGGAGGGAGAGTGCAGTGACTATGGAACTTTGTATTGGAACTCTGTGCTGCCCTGTCACAATGGAAAGCAACAGAGGGTAGAATTCAATTGGCACCCAAGGAGGGAACATTTAGACCAGCCCTAGCCAGAAGGTAATTGTCCATTCCAACAGCTGGAGATTAAGTTCCAGCTAGCCCCACCACGGTGAACTAAAGCGCTCTGGGGTTGTAAATAAATTTGAAAGGCAATCTAGGCCACGGAGCTGAAATTCCTGGGAAAGCCCTGGTGCTGTGTTGGGCCTGGAGCTAGTGGACTTGGGGTACACATGATCTAGTGAGACACTAACTGCGGTGGCTGAGAAAGTGCTTGTGTCACCCCCCCCCCCCCCCCCCCGCCCAAACCACAAGCATTGCAGCTCACAAGCCCTGGGAGAGACTTTTTTCACCTGAGGAAAGGAGAGGGAAGAATAAACGTGGCTTTGTATTGCAACTTAGATACCAGCTCAGCCACAGTAAAATAAAGCACGAAGCAGAGTCCTGAAGGCCCCATTCTCAGTTGCAGCTCCTGACCAACATTTCTAGCCAACCCTGGGGCCAAAAAGAAACCTACTGCCTTGAAGGGAAAGACCCAATCCTGGCAGAATTCATCACCTACTGACTAAAGAGCTCTTGGGCCTTGAATAAACTCTCACAGTAGCTAGGCAGTACCTTCCACAGACCTTGGGTGAAATCTACTACCAAACTGGCTTCAAGTATGAACTAGCACATTCCAAGTGCCAGGATGGCCATGGGGAGAGACTCCTTCTATTGAGGAAAAGAGACTTTGTCTTGCAACTTGAGTACCAGCTCAGCTGAAGTAAAATAAAGCAGCAAGCAGACTCCTAAACACTTTGGTTCCATGTCTTAGCACCTAGATGGCATGTCTAGACATTCCCTGGGCCAGAAAGGAACCCATTGACCTGAAGGCAGAGACTCTGGCCTGGCAAGATTAACTACAAGCTGCCTAAAGAGCCCTTGGGCCTTCGATAAACCTCAGTGGTAACCAGGTAGTACTTTCCATGGGTCTTGGGCAAGACCCATTACTGTGCTGACTTCAGATCTGACCCAGCACACTCTTAGGGGTGTTGGCCACAGGGATACCCCAGACATCAATATCAGACCTGACCTATAAGAAATAATAAGGGGAATTCTTCAATCTGAAATAAAAAGATGTTAATGAACAATAAGAAATCATCTGATGGTACAAAACTCACTGGTACTAAGTACACAGAAAATACGGATAACACTATCATTGTGGTGTGTAAACTGTATGAGGAGCAGAAAGACTAAAAGATGAACCTATTAAAAATAGCTCCCACAACTTTTCAAGACATAAACACTATAATAAGATATACACAGAAATAACAGTGGGTGTAAAAAACAGTGGGGTTGGGGTAAAGTCAAAATGTTGAGTTTTTATTAGTTTTCTCTTTATTAGTTTGTTTCTGCAATCAGTGTTGTCATCAGTTTAAAATAATGGGTTACAAAATGATATTTGGAAGCCTCACTGTAACCTCAAATCAAGAAACACACAACATATGCACAAAAAAATAAGAAATTAAAACATACTACCAGAGAAATCACCTTCATTAAAAGGGAGATAGGAAGAAAGGAAGAGAAGGTAGGAGGGAAGCAGGAAAGGGAGACCACAAAACAACCAGAAAAATAAATGGCTGTAGTAAATCCTTACTCATCAGTAATAACACAGAATGTAAATAGACTAAACTCTATATTCAAAACGTAAAGTGTCAGAAAGAACTAAAAATCAAGTCCCAACTATCTGCTACTAGAAACACACTTCCCCTATGAAGACACACATAGACTGAAAATAAAGGAATGAAAAAATATACTTCATGCAAATGGAAACCAAGAGCAGGAGTAGCTACACTTTTATATCAAGTAAAAGAGATTTCAAGAAAGCAACTAGAAAAAGAGGCAAAGAAGGTCTTCACATATTGATAAGCGAATCAATTCAGTAAGAGATTGTAACAATTATAAATATATATGCATTCAACACTGAAGTGCTGAGGTATATAAAGCAATTATTATTAGAGCTAAAGAAAGAGATAGACCCCAATACTATAATAACAGGAGACTTCAACCCCACTTTGAACCTTGGACAGATGATCCAAACAGAAAATCAACACACAAATGTTGTATTTAATCTGCAGTTTAGACCAAATGGACCTAATAGATATTTACAGAACATTTCATCCAAGGGCTGAAGAATACACATTCTCCTCCTCAGCACATGAGACATTCTGAAGGCTAGAACATATTTTAGACCACAAAACCAGTATTAAAATTTTCAAAAAAAAAAAAAAAAATCAGCCAGGCATGGTGGCTCAAGCCTGTAATCCCAGCACTTTGGGAGGCTGAGGCAGGTGGATCACAAGGTCAGGTGTTTGAGACCAGTTTGACCAACATGGTGAAACCCTGTCTCTACTAAAAATACAAAAATTAGCCAGGCATGGTGGTACACACCTGTAGTCCCAGCTACTCAGGAGGCTGTGGTAGGAGGATCACTTGAACCTGGGAGGTGGAGGTTGCAGTGAGCCAAGATCGCACCATTGTACTCTAGCCCGGACAACAGGTAAGACTCTATCTCAAAAAAAAAAAAAAAAAAATTAAAGAAATTGAAATAATATCAGTGTCTTCTCTCATATAATATAATCAAGCTTCTTCTCTCATATAACATAATATAGACACATAGTGGAACAGACTAGATAACTCAGAAACAAATTCATATATCTATAGTAAGCTCCAAAGAGAAAAACAACATGCATTGGGG